ACCTCAAGGTGCTGAATGAAAGGCGCAGTTTTAGACACGATGAATGGATTTGTTTGGCTTAACGATTCTTATTTGTTAAGAGGGAAAGCTTTTATTTTTCTCTACGGGTGAGATTTATAGAGGTAGTAGTAATGACACCAAATAAAAGAAGAAAAAAGGGGCAGGGGGAGTAATGACACATTAAAAAATACACACAAAGTAGTTCCTGGGGTCACAGAAAAGCAGGGCAGCACTGGCATGATTGTGTTACATTCGTTACATATTTTTTAAACATCAAACTATATATACCATTCATGGTTTCCTAAACAATTCTCTTCTATTTTTGACATATAGAAAGGCTCATTGTCAGTACTTGTTAAATTCATGACAAAAATAAAGGGAGTAGAATGGGATCATGGGAAAAAATCAAGCGATTTTCCAACAGCCATTTCCACTCCTCCTCCTATAGAACTGTAGGTGCGGCTCGGTGACCGTCTTCAGCATGTGTCCAAGATCTCTGCACCAGGGAGGTACCCATCCACCTGCAGGCCATTTGTAGCTTTTTCATGAATTAGTCTTTTTCTTTTGGGAGCACTGGGTCAGCCTCCTTGAACAGTCAAATAAGATAATATACGTACATCTCTTGGGAAACCTTGAAGAGATGTATAAACGCCAACTATTATTATCCCCATCATTATTGTCATTAGTATTAATTATTCAGGATGTCCAAGATTGCAGTAGGGGTTCAGTGTCCTGAATACAATGTCATCTTCAAACACGACCACCTACCAGAGTAAAAGCAAAGCTTGACCACCGATGGAGAATCCTTCCTATATTTGGACTTTGCCCATGAGATCCTCTCTAATACCAGGAACATGGCTCCTTGGGTCATCCCTTGCCTAAAGCTGAGAAGCAGAGCCTTGCCCCATCAACTAAATGCCCTTATTGAGTGCCTAGGACATGCCCAGGTGTGGCAGACACAGAAGGCTTCTCATGTTCTTCCAGTTCTAAATCCATGATCTTGGTTGGCCTCCTCATTTCTAAAATTAGGGGACGTGGGCTCTGAAGTCCTTCTTGGCTTTGACATTCTAAGATTGTTTGAGAAAAAAAAATGTTCAAGAGACAGGCGTCTGAAGGTCTGTCCCCACCCTCGACTCTCACTTTTTTTTTTAAATCTTCTGGAATTGTCCTCTCTAGGCCTCAGGGAGGGGCCAAGCAAACAAACAAGGCTCATTTGCCAAATCTGGTTTTGACTCTACCTCTAGGGTCCATCTATTACCAAGATAGTCCTTGGATCAGGTGGGGGTTTAGGAAGATGGAGGACCCACTCTTCTGCCGGGAGATAGGACAGGCGACAGTCCAGCACCTGGTGTATTGCCCTCACTGCTCACCAGCACACCAGTGCCAGGCAGACCAGCACACGTTCAGGCACCAATGTTGACAGCCACACTCACAATGACAGAGCCACCTTGCAGGGCCAGATTCTTCTCCTTTCTCCCCATATCCACCAAGCCAGAGGAATGAAACCAAACTTGGCAAGACGCTAGGTGGGGTCAAATGGACAGTGTCTGGAAGACTTTCCCTTGCCAGAAACTGGGATTCACATCCTCTGACAAAGGAGCCATTCCTGCTTATTCAGTGAGTCCTGGTGCATGGCCAGTGTTGAAGAAGCTTAGATGAAATTTTAGCAGTTTCATGGTGGATGAGAACATCAGCTTTGTCCCCTTAGGCAATGACTGGTGGAATGGTAGCATGGAGATCTGTCCAGCCTCCCCAGTGAAAGAAGTTGATGCGTAGCAATCAATTACTTATCCAATCAACACTGATGAAATGCCAAGCGCTGGAGATATGGAAAGCCAAGAGTTAAATACTCCCTAACTTCAAGCAGCTTGCAATCAATCTGCCCAGAAGAGAGGTGGGGTGCTCCCAGCCTCCTTGCTTTGGAAGGTCTGAGTGGCTTTGGGAGAGTCAACAGTTCAATGCAGCAAACGCTGACAAGTACATCCCGTGCTGATGTGGCCAACTCTGAGGATCCGACGCTCAGCAATGGAAGAGACCTTCGAGGCCATCTGGCTCACCTCACCCCATCCTCATTTACAGGTGAGGCCCAGAGAAGGAAAACACCCAGCTAGGAAGCATGTGACATGGGAGTCAAGCATGGGGCTTCTGCCTGCAAGGTCAGCATTCTTTACACAACGCCACGTTGCCTCTAACAAGCTAGTACAGGGATAAGGAGCACACATACCTAATTATAACATGGATCAGAATGAACTGAGACCAAAGGGGGTGTGAGACAGGAGAGCAGAGGCTTCTGCCACCTACAGGAAGCTATTCCTGACCCTCCTCCCCAGCTACTGGTGCCTCCATTCATTCCCCCGGCCCTCAAAAACTGTGCCTTGTATTTATGCCTTCATTTGCCTTCCTTCTCCTGCTCAGCCAAATACAAAAGACTGGAAGCTGAGGCACAAAGGCAGAGGGGAAATGGACTAGATGGACTGTGAAAGGCCTCAGCACTCCAGATCTACAATTTCTTCCTGAGCCTCAGTCTCCCTATCTGTAAAATGAAGGGTTTAAAGTAGGTGACTTCTAGAATGCCTTCCAGGTCCTGCTTTGGTATCCTACCATCAGAAGAGAGAGACACGACTTTCACAGACTCTTAGACTCCCCAAGCTAGTTAGAATGACAAAGAACCTTGGAGGTCAGCTGGTCCATTTTACAGATGAGAAAGTGGAGGCCCAGAGAGTTCACGAGTGGACTTGCCCAAATTGTAAGCAGGAGAGACAGGATTTGAGCCCAAGTCCACTGATTCCGAGTCCAAAGCTACCTTCACCCTACCCCACATGAGTGGGAGCCAGAGGAGATGCACCCCTCCCCAACCCTGACCAGCTTCGCCCCTTTGCTGTTGGATTTCAGGGACAAGTCCAGTGGCTCCTCAGACCCTGAGATAGGTGTCCAGACTCCTCCCCTTACACATAGCCATGCTAGAGCTGTGGGTCCACTTGGTCATGATGCCTGCCTCCTGGTCTGCCCCCTCCCGGTGCCTCTGAAAGATGTTAGGCTCACAGACCAGGTGTGGGAAGGGACCCCAGAAGCCACCAAATCACCTTTCTCCTCTTACGTCAGAGGAAAGTGAAGCCTGGGAAAACTGTCATCGGGCTATGAGTGCTGGAGAGCTGGCCTTTCTCTGTGTTCCCAGAACTCAGCACAGTGCCTGGTACACAGTGGGTGCATAATAAATACTTACTGACTCCCCAAGTTCAATGACTTACCCAAGGTCACACAGCAGGTTAAAAAAAGAGCTAGGGGATCTGAAGCCCTGTCCTGTGATGCCAATTCTGTTAGGAGTCTTTCCAGGAAGTCAGCACTCACACCTTTCCAGTTTAGATTGCTTCAAAGAACAGAAGGCTCTTCTTGCTAACAGGCCATTCCTGATTGACCAGAACTACCTGGCATCTGCACACAATTTCTCTGGCCTCCTACAGCTGCCCCTGATGCTCCCAAGCCACACAAGCCCTTCACCACTCTTCTTTCCAAACTTTTCAAGTGGACCACGGACCCAATCTCAAACCAAACTGGAGAACCAAAACTGAGCTCTCAGACTTAAGCCCTGCCAGAGGATGGTCCCCCTGGCCTCTGTGGTCACATCAACCCCACCCCCACTAAGGAAGTGAAAAAGAAAATCCATGGCCAAGTGCCCGGAAGAGGCCCCCTCTGAGCAGATGCCCAGGCTTCCAGAGGTAAAGGCGGAGCCTGGCAGGGCCACTGGAGAGACCATGCCCAGCCGACACAACTCTTCACTCCAGCTGCATTGCTGAAACAGAAAACTCCCCTGGCGTGGTGTGTGTCCCAGGAAGGCAGCGCTCGGGTGAGCCAGCAAGCCTATTCCAAAGTGGCTCCCACACGCACCAACATTCAAAACTGTTGTGGAGACCAGAGCAAAAGGCGTCCACCAGCATCTGTTCAGGAGCACACACCCTGTGCCCAGCACTGAACCCGTGACATGGGGAGAAAGACAAGAAAGGACATGCATCCCTGCCCCCGGGAGCTTCCTGGGCTACCCAATGTCCACAAACAGCAATGCAGAAATACCCAGAATGGACAGTTTGAATAACTGGGAGGGGGAGAAGACTGTGTAAGAGGTGATGCTGTGCCCACCCGGGAGGCAGCTCCGGATGGCAGAAGTGAGGAGGAAGCCAATTCCAGTCACGAAGGACAGCGTGTGGCCAAGGCACCAGCGACAGGTGGGATGGCACGGAGAAGCCACAGCCAGAAGGCCAAGAGAGGCAATAGAGATCGGAGTCACCAGAGAGGACGAGTGGAATGGAGGGACCCCTGCCTGGCCCCAGAGGCAGAGAACATGCAGCGTGGTGGCCCAGCTCAGGCCCCCAGATAGACCTGCCAAGCCCCGTCCCCTCTCCCTGAAGCCCTTTCCTCCTCCGTAAAAGGTCTGGGAAGGACCCAATGACCATTAAGGTCCCAGCCAGCCAGATCTAGGAAACCTTGCCTTCTGAAAGCAAGAACCTGGCTGAATATTTGCTCACACCAGAGGGCTAACACAAGGACTCTGCCCCCGTAGAGCCCCAGCTCCTGGAAAGCCTATGAGCCTCCAGAAGTCCCCGAAGCCTGGTGTGGAGGACGGGCTCTGAGCCCAAAGCTATGCTGTGTGACCACTGCTGCTCTAGCTACATGCAAACCACCCCTATGCCTCCAACTCCAACAATGCCTCTTGGAACCTTCTCACTCCATTTCTTTATGTACACACATGATTCCTGCTCAGAAAAAGCCCAGCTCCTGGCCACATCCCTATTCCCCAAGGGAAGAGGTGGGGAGGCAAGGGGGGGAGACGTCCACACACACACACACTCACACACAAACATTCTTCTCAGAACCCAACAAACGATCACCCCCGGGCAGACAGTAACAACGTCCTGTTTTTCCCGACAGGCCAAGGCTTTCTGGAGCCACCCAGCTGAGGAAAAGGAGCCTCTTTGCTCCAGCCCCGACCATCCATGTGTACTTACTCTCCAAGGCAGCTCGTCCCTGGTGTGTTCCCTCATTCCCTGAATCCCTCTCACACACGCCCTTCTTCCTCGTGCAGAAATAATTGGAAGGAGGTCCTGAAGGAAGGGGATAAGGCTCAAGCATTCGCTGCTCAGCCTCCAAAACAAGGGGGAAGGGGGAGGGGGGAACCCTATTTTCTGGAAACAGGAATTCAAATCCTGCTCCTTCCCAACCCTGAGTCACCTCCCCTCCCCTCCCCTCCCAATAGATCAGGGCAATGGGTAAACATTTCCAAATATGGAGAAGCAGGCTAAGGAGGATGTCCAAAAAATCACCCTTCTCCTCTGCTCTGGCACTCGGAGGATATGCTCCTCTTAAGAAATATCCCATGTCTCTCTGTCAATGATTAACCAGAAGAGATGCTGAGGCTGGACTCTGTTCCAGTTACTGTGCTAGGTGGAGGGGCAGAAATCATCAGGAAGTCAGTGGTCTGGGTGGCAAAGGGCTCTGGTGTGGCTGTGATTCACGACAATTTCCTCCCAACACCTAAGGGTGTGGCTGCAAGAGAGCAGGTGTGTAAGTGAGGGAGCAGCTGGGAGAGTGTAAAGGCAGGACAGGCCAGAACCCCCTATCCCTCCTCACACATTCACTCTCAGTTTCCCAGAAGGGGATATCACAATTCCTCCGAGGTGGGCAGATTCATCAGGGGGGGCCCCAGGCCAGACCCAAGGATCTCCAGGATCTCTGGGCCAGGCAGAACATGAGAACGAATGGGCTCAGACCTCAGTCCATCCTGACCATGTGCCCCTGAGAACATTCAAGACCAAGGCAGACCCTGGGCTGATGCAAGCTCCTTTCCCGTGAACATTCTGATGGTCATGCTTCTGACGTCCTAAACCTTCTGAGCGTTGAACTGATCTGAGGAGGGTAGTGAGTAGAGGCAGAGGGAAATAAAGGCATAAGAGAAAGGAGCCTTGATTCTCTATCTGACCAGCGAGGCTCTCCTTGTCTAACTGCCCTTCACTGTCCACGCAAACAGGCTTTGCTTCTATTCCTTCTTCACACTCCACATTCCATGCCCCCACCTCCTTGTCTCTGCAAAAGCTGAGCATCTGCCTAGAATGCACTCTCCCCTCCCCTCAGCCTCTGAGAATCTGGAGCATCCTTCAAAGCTCGTCTCCAACACTGCTGCCTATAGGAAGATGCTCCTGCTCCCCCCCCAGCTGTTAGTGCCTCCCCTCCCCACCCCTAAAATGCCTTGTATTTATCAATCAATAAATATTTATTAAAACAGAAAAAAAAGTACTTACATGTACAGAAAGTATTTGTAGCAGCTCTTCTCTGGTGGCAAAGAATTGGAAACTGAGGGAATGCCCATCATTTGGGGATGGCTGAACAAATTGTGGTCTGTGATTGTGATGGAATATTGTGCTATAAGACATGATGAGCAGGATGCTCTCAGAAAAGCCTGGAAAGACTTACATGAACTGATGCAGATCGAAATGCACTGTGCACAAAGTAACAGCAGTATTGTAACATGAGCATTGTGGATGACTTAGCTGTTCTCAGTACTACAATGATCCAAGACGACTCTGAAGGACTTAGGATGAAAAATGCCACGTGACCCCAGGCAAAGAACTGTCGGTGTCTGAACACAGATTGAAGCAGGCTATCTCTCTATATATATGTATGTGTGTGTGTGTGTGTGTGTGTACTTAATAGTAGGTGCTATACACACACACACACACACACACACACACACACACACACACACACACACACACACATATATACACAAAGCACCTACTATTCTCTAGGAACTGTGCTAAATACTGGATTTATTCATTTTGTAAATAATTCAGATATGCTTCTATAGGCAATTTGAGAGCCTACAAGATGGTGCCTATCTGCTCTGATAGAAGTCCCTCCCCAAGACCTCCCCAGACCAGCAAATTCTTAAATCTAGTGCCTCTCCTTCCAAGTCTTGTATTTCCCTATGTCTCTCTGTAAAGAATATAAGTGGCTTAAAAGCAGAGAGCATTTCATTTTTGTCTTTGTAACCCCACTGCCTGGCACATAGTAGGCACTTTTAAAATACTGATTGGTCGACTAGTGCCAGGAGGGAGGACATGACTTTTAAGGGATCATAGCCACCCTTCATCCTTCTGTGGGTCATGTGCTCAATTCAGTTTACCAGTTGTTTTTGTTGTTGTACATTTCTAAAATATCAATATCCAGAAGAGATGCACATGTCTTACTCTAGTTTTACCTGATGATATACATTTTCTCTCTCTCTCTTTTTCCTTTTCTCTCTCTTTTCTTTTTTCTTTCTTTATCTTTCTTCTTTCTTTCTCTTTCTTTTTCTTTTTTTCTGTTTCCCTTTCTCTTTTTCTTTGCCTTTACCTTTGCCTTTTATCTGGAACTGGTCTCCTAGCAACTTCCACCCACTGTTTCTCTTTGTACCCTCCAGGGCTAAGTAGAAAATCTCTAATTATCATTGAAAACAGTTATCCAGTTGCTCAAGTCCATTCAAAGGTCATGGTTCAAATCTCAGCCACCCAGCTTACGACCTGTGTGACTTTGAGCAAGTCCTCTCTACTCTCTGGGCTTCAGTTTCCTTATCTCCAAAATTCAGGGGTTGGATGGACCAATTCCGAAGATCTATTATTCTGTCTCTGAAATCCAATGAATGTTCTGAGGGGGGCTCCATCCTCACCCTTGAGTAGAATACATACTCATAAGTAAGGATGCCACAACTGAAGATGCCAAAGTCCATAAGAGACTAGCAAAGTTGTGAAAGGCCAGAAGAGGTACCAATGACTTCTGCTGACCAAGGTCTTTTTCACAACACAATACAGTACTTAGGCAAATTTTGTTCAACATTTTTATCAGTGAACTGGATGAAAGCATATATGACCTGAATGGAGCAGAGTCAAGGCATGCCCTGGATCAGCTCTGCTCATTCTAATGAGATCTCAAGAGTCAGGAACAGTGATCTTGACCTTTCAAGGAGTAATTGAATAGGGATAAGTGCCAAGTCCTGTCACTGGGTTCAAAGGATCAGTGTCACAAGTACAAGATGGTAGAAGTATGATTAGATGGAAGGACTTGAGGATTGTGGTGAATGTGCAAGGTCAACAATAGTTAACAAGTGTGCTAAAAGGGTCACTGTCATCTTTGCCTTTATTAAAAGAGGCAGAGAAATAAAACTGAGAGAGGCAATAGCTTCACTAAATCCTGTCCTCCTCAGATGACTTTTGGGAGTCCTATCATCTTCAGTTCTTCATGACCCTGAAGAAAGCTACTGACTTCCATTGGCAGCTAGGTGGCTCAGTGGAGTCAGGAGAACCTGAGTTCAAATCAGGTCTGAGACACTTATTGGCTGTGTGACTCTGGGCAAGTCACTTTACCCTGTTTGCCTCAGTTTCCTCATCTGTAACATGAGCTGGAAGTGGGAAACCATTTCAGTCTTTGCCAAGAAAACCCCAAATGGAGTCCTGAAGAGTCTGACTGAAAAATGAATGAACTGACTTCCATCCACTGGTGAGTGATCACCTTGTGAGGGGCCTGGAAATCATATCACCCAAGGATCCCCTGAAGGACTTGAGGACGTATGATCTTGAGGAGAGATGAATTAGAGAGGACATGATAGCAGTCTTAAAGTAAGTGAAGGGCATTCAGGAAAAAGAATTTGTTCTACTGGCACTGGATTGCAGGACTAGAGCCACGAAGTAGAAAATACAAGGAAGAAGATGTCAGCTCACCATAAGGAAATGCTTAATTAGAGTGAATCAACACTGGAATGGTTGGCCTCAGTGAGAAAGAAGATTTTCATTTCTGAGGACATGGCAGGGAGGCAGCGGGGTGGGGGGGGGAAGCCCTTGGGTGGAAGGTAAACCAGGTGTTTTGGAAGACCTCTTATAATCTCTCATTTGTTGGATTCTTGGTAGACAGAGAGAGAGCTCTATGCTTCATGTTACAGATGAAGAAAAAGAGGCTCAGAAATGTTGTTGAGTCTCCCATTTGGGGTCCTCCTGACAGCAGTACTGGACCTTCTCTAGTTCATTTTACAGATGAGGAAACTGAGGCAAACAGGGTGAAATGACTTGTCCAGGGTCAAACAGCTAATAAGTGTCTGAGGCTGGATTTGAACTCAGGAGGATGAGTCTTCCTGATTCCAAGCCCAGCGCTCTATCCACTGCACCACCTAGATGCCCAGGAAAAGTACTCACTCAAACTTTTAACTCCAATAGTAAGTATCTAAACCAGGACTTGAATCCAGTTTATCTGACACCATGTCCAGACCTCTTCCCAGTAGACTGAACATGGGGATTGACTGAGCTGGTGGAAGTGAGTGTCATTGAAGGCTTCAGAAGGGACACAGAATTTCAGCTGGGCTAGGAAGAATTTCAACTGGCATGGATGGGAGTGAAGAGCATTTGAGATATAGAGAATGGCATTAGTGAAGTCACAGAGGCAAGAAAGCACGGAGGGATGCAGGAAATGTTGAGGTGTCCTGTATGGTGGGATGAAGAGGGCATGGGGGAAGAAAAATGGAGCTCAGAAGATGTGTTGAGCGGCTTTACGTTAGTTCTTAAAGGTGGCAATGAATGCCTATATCAGGGTGATGACAGCAGGGATAAAAAGGAGGACCACAGGCCAGATGGAGTGAAGGGGGAGTTGACAGGACATGACCACTGATTAGCTATGACATCAGAGAAAGGGAACGGGAAAGAAAATCTCATCTGGGAACACTGGTGACTACTAATCATAACCATAGCTAAGCCATAACCAAGCTGAGGAAGGAAAGAGAAAAGAGTGGCCAATCAGGTCAGAAACAGCAGAGAACCCAAGGAAAGGAATGGAGAGGGAAAATGGTTAATTAAACTCAGATGTCATGCCCAGCACTGGAGATACAAAAGAGAAAATGGAGACACACGCTGTCAAGGAGGTCACATCCTAATGAAGAGAAACAACACATAAAGGAAGGCTCGAGTCCACGTTCAGTTCACGGCAGGTAGGAAGGTGCGATGGTTCATGGGCAGGGGCAGAAGCAGGGCAAATGGCAAGGTCCAGGAAGGACTAGCAAGGAAAAAGAAAAGACCACTGTGTTTGGTGCTTAGAGGGAACTAGTCATTCTGCTGTACTACAAGAGTTGAGCAGACAGAAGGTGTTGAGGAAATGAAGGCATGGGGAAGGCATGGTGATAGAGTATTTTTCACTTGGGTCTAAATACTGTCATTTATGGTACTTTGGCAGGACAATTGACTCCATTTTTCTAGATAACGAAATAAAGTTGAAGAAGATATAGCACTTCACAGTCAGGAGGGAAATCACTAGATGAGAAGGACCACAAGCTAGTGTTTGCCTCCCAGTTCATTAAAGACAAAAAGCCCAAGTGCCCAGTGAAGACTTCCTCAAGTTATTGCAATGACTGCAGAGGCTCAGAGTACTTAGCATGCGATAATGATATGGTCCATTACACCCCCCAACACACACACACACACACACACACACACACACACACACACCTTACAAAGCTCCCGGTAATCTAGGTCAGTCAAAACAATGGAGTGTTCATTCATCTGTCCCTAGAAACCCAACAATTTATATGCACTGGTAGAATTACAACTATGTGCCCTGAGTATCCAATCACTAAGCAGGTCAAAAGAGTTTAAATGGTACAGACATCATCTTCAAACTCAACAAGCATGGGACTAGTTGGGGAGACAAGTCCTAACAAGCTGGACCAACAAGAAATATGAGAACACATAGAATCAAGTGTCAATTGGCACAGCACAGACCACATGTGAGACTAATCAAACTATAAGCATTTATTAAGCACCTACTATAGGCCCTGGAATGGTGCTAGGCACTGGGAACAGAAAAAGAATGAATTTTAAAATCCCTGCTCAAAGGTGCCTACATTCTAATAAGAGAGTAATCACTGGGGACCAGGGTAGCCAAAATGTATCCTTCATAATAGAGAATCCCAGAATCTGAAAGGTTACAAAAAGCTCAGAGGCCTCCCCTGACCAAAAATCCCATCTGCAACACCCTTCATTTGACAATATCTACTGGTCACTACCTCCCGAAAGTTAGCCCATTCCATTCTGAGATACTTTGGTGGGTAGTTTTCCTCACATCAAGCCAAAATCTGACTCCCTACAGCTTCGACTCACTGGTCTAATTTTTAGCTTCTGGGACCAAGTGGGGAAAAAAGAAATCAACATGCATGT